CCACCCAATCTGTAACACTGATGCTCACCCTAGTCACCAGCCACCCTGTTTTATTTTCCTCAGAGCATTTTAAAATTATCTGAATACTGGTGTATTGGCTGGGCAGTGCACAACCAGGGGACACCATTCACTTAGACTAGAAGATGAAGGATGCCTGAGTGCAGCCTGCCCCTCTGTGTGTGGCATCTGGATTCTGAAGCTATCGTGCTTTATTGGTTTTGTTCTGTTTATTTTCTTTTTTCCATGTCTCTAGATCTTGAGCTCCACGACAGCGGGAACCTTGTCTGTATTGCTTTTTCTGAGTCTGGTTGAGAAAAGCTCTCAATGCTTCCCAAATTCATGCAAAAGGTGGCAACTCGAGATTTCGGCTCTGATGACATCCCACCTATTGACAAGGTGCCAAGATGATTCTTCCAATGAAAAAGATGCTTAGAAAAAAAAACTTTTGACCACTTCAAAAACATTAACAGCATTTAGATTTTCCAAACAGGGCTCATAAAATAGGAAGTTTTCTTTGATGGTCTTGGCGCGAGCATCGTGGTTTTGTGAAAAGTTGGACCTGGGTGCCCTGATAAACATGGAGGGTTCCACATGGCTGCACACTGAGCTTCTAATTTCTCTATGTCCAGCTTCAGAATGTTAGAAGAGATGACAGTTCTGGAGTGGATGACATTATCTGACTGAGGAACTACTGGAATTGTCTTCTCTAAGCCACAACAAGCTCTACCAGTACCAAAACAAGTAGCCTCACCAAGGACTCCCCCAAATATGGGGCTTCTTTTGTTTGGTAACAAAAGAAGAAACCTTGTAGGATGTTTTGGAGATGCTGCTTTGGATGCTGCAANATCTACATTTACTATGAAACTCCCATAAAAAAACTTTCAAAAATGTCACCCAAAGGCAATTACTGAAGAAGCGAGTGAGGAAATCACTACCCAAAAGAAGAAAGGGGTGGAGGAGGAGGACAAAAAAGAGACAGAGAGGGAGAAAGAAAGAGAGAGGGATAGAGGGAAGGAGGGGAGTGGGGAGGACCAGGTCTTACACCAGGAAAGTCATTCCTTTTAGAATTTTCTGGAAAAGGAAATAGATAGCTTTGTTACTTACTTCCTCAAAAAACAAAGACGTTTCAGTGGAAGCTTACCTACGCAGCGTGTGAGCAGTATGAAGTTCCTGGCTACAAAGCCAGGCTTTGAATCTTCTTGCTGGCGTAGGCGGGCTCCTCGGGACTGTGCAGAAACCTCAGCCTACTGGGGACCTTCAGCTCGCAGCCAACTAAGCCCTTGCTAACTGCAGTCTGCAATCCTAACGAACCCTAATGTTTAATCTAATCTAATCTTATGTGGAAAGTTAAATACTGACCGGTAGTTGGGAACGCACTTTGGTGGCTGACGGGGTGTGCCTGCTTGGAGTCTGGCATTGGCAGAAGGCGCAACTTCCCCCTTCAGGCCCCATGATGTCAGCTCCAGCCAGGACAATGCCTGGGCCCAGAGAGAGCCACCCTCTCCAGGAAAAGTCTCAGTGGACAGCGCCATTCCCTGGAAAGCGTCCCAGAGAGCTGAGATGAACACGGCCACCTGTGGGTTGAGGAGAAGGCCGATATGATTCGAGGCAGGCACCCCTATTCTGACCACTTCCTCACAAGCCAAATTTCACTTAAATACCCCTCTCTGGGACAATTTCCAAAAGACTTCATAACAACATTGTTGTCTTGTAAAATAGAAACAGGCCACAAGAAAGGTGGTATATGGAGGAGATGGAAGCAAGTCTGGCAAAGTATGTAAAGACCTCAAAAGAGCTAAACAAACTCTATTTACCAAAAGGTCCTTTTACATCATAGTGGAAGACCTTGCAATTAGGCAGAGTGGGCTTCATAAGAACTAACATTTATTGAGTACTTACCCCACGTCAGGATCTTTTCAAATGCTTTTATTGTATTAGCATCATGTAGTCCTTGCCACAAGGCAATGTAGAAGGTATTATGAACTCTGCAGCCAAGGGATCCAGGCACAGAGAGGTCAAGAGGTCAGGGTGACATAGAGGCAGAGCCAGGATTTAAATTTAATCCTGGATGGTGGCTGCAGAAGTTATACACCACCCAAATCACTTGGAGGTCACAGGGCTGGCCATTACTCTGTAATGTAGCTGTGTGAGGTCAACTTCACTTTACCATTGGATTTTCTCATTAAATAGTGCTCTGAACAATGTGGTTTGAAGCATATTGGGTGGCAAGCAAGATGGCTAGGATTTAAGTTGCCTATAAATTGTAGGAGTTAATGTATTAGGTGTGAGCTAAAGAAATACAAGGATCTCTGTAACTCTGCTAGATTGCCTTCACTGAACAAGATCGGGCAAACCCAACCGGAAAGGAATGGTTTGATGGTCCAATTGGACTGAAAATGCCTCCGAAGAAACAGAAGCAAGTCATTCAAATGTCTTCCTGGGCAATTCCACTGGGCGACTGTGCCACCTGCTGGTGGAAACAAGGAACAGAGGCCAGTCTCCCTCACTCCTGAAGCTGCTGGCTATTGAATCAAAACTGTGCAAGTCTACTCTTGGGTAACGAGAGGCAGAACTGGATGGCGATGAATCCTGGAGGTTAAGAGCTTAGTTTTGGAGGCCGACGAACCAAGTGCACAAATTCCTTAGC